CTAGAGAGACCTGACAGGACCCAAGAAACCTCACCAACCATACCAACTGGGTTCCCTAAGAAGGGTAGGATGGTGTATCTGGCAGAGAAGGTAAATACATGGCAGCCATGCATTGCTCAGTGATTAAAAGCTTGTGCTTTGAGATTCTAAGTTTTTAGTTTTACAAGTTTCTAACCTGGGCGTTGAGCATCTGTTTCCACTTTTATGAAAGGGAGATGGTAATAACACCTCCTCTGCAGGAAAGAGTCTACAGGCTTAGGGATGCATATCCTAGAAAAGAGCCTGTTTGTAGGTTGGTCCTTGGTTGACATCTTGGAACTTGGATTTTAGGAAGGTCCCCACCATTCCCTGGTAACGAATGGCTTGCTGTGCCTTAACTGTTTATCCCAAAAAATGGTTTATGCTGAACCCCTGCTTTCCTTCTGGAATTTAAATATGGATTAAGCAAGGGGTGCCTATGTGACTAGTACCAAATAAAATCCTCATGCCCTTCATCTCTGATGGGCTTTCCCGGTAGGTGGCATTTTATGTGTGTTGTTACAGTCAGTCCTGGGGGATTTAACCACATCCCATGTGAGTTCACTAGGAGAAGACCTCCGAAAGTCTGTACCATCCTCTAGACTTGGCCCTGTGTGCCTCTTCCCACTGCTAATTTTGTTTTGTGTCCTTTCACTGTAATACATCACAGCCATGAGTATGACTGTATGCAGAGTCCTATGAGTCTTCCTGGTGAATCAACAAGCCTGAGGTTAGAAACTTGTAAAACTGGAGACTTAGAATCTCAAAACACAAGCTTTTAATCACTGAGCAATGTATGGCTGCCCTGTATTTACCTTCTCTGCCAGATACACCATCCTACCCTTCTTAGAGAACCCAGTTGGTGTGGATGGTGAGGTTTCTTGGTTTTTTGGGGGATGGTCTTGGGGACCCCCGACATAGGGCTACAATGAATGTGGGATAAGACGCATTGAACTTTTAGCACCGTATTAGGTAGAGACTGAGCTTGAGCACATCACAGAGAAGAAATCGTCTGCCAAGCATGTCTTCACTTCCCTACTAGGTGTCCCTCTGTCCCACAGTGCTAAAAGGCACTAGGACCCTGGCTCTGTCTTTCACCTGAGTGTGGGCCTCCTCATTGCTAACAGAGATAAGCCACTGCTGATAGCATATCACTATACATCTTGGAGATTTTGTCTCTGCATCCATGAACTTCCCAGGAATATTCCTTCAGGGTATAGAGCTGTTTTGTGTTTTCCTTTTAAGTTGTTCCTTTATAACGCTTTAACTCAAACTTACTGAAGAGGTAGAACTCTATGTTTGACCATCGAAATTATAGTTGTGTAGGTAGGATGCAGTGTAGGTAGATTAATTCAGCTGTGGGTTTCCTCTCCACGATGCTCTTATTTAAAAACAGAAACAGTATTAGTTCATTGATATTTTCTTTTCAGTGCTCTCATTGAATGGCATAGCAACTACTGGGAAATTCACAATGAGAAAGGGAATAATAAGACATTTCTTTTCTGCCTCTAAAAATATTTGGCCTAGCATTTTCAGTGCTTGTTCATGTATGAATACAGGCCAAATAACTCTTCTCAAATGATTTTTCTGAAATAATTTCTTCTTGCTTTAAAAAAAATGGTCATAGCTAAAGTTTCTTAAACTGTGAAGCAGACTCAGCCAACAAATAGCCAAATTATTTTCAAATGTATTTTATGCTCACTTTCGAAAGATGATGTATTGAGCTAATTATTGGTGTAATTTTCTGCCACTGAAAACATTCCAGGCCTTCAACCAGATAGGAATATCACAATCAAAACTCCCCTGAGTTAGCACTCAATTGTGTAACAGCTAATATAGTTACCACATTGGATGTTGTTACTTGAAACTTTGAAGCAGCTAAAATAGAAACCTAAAAATGGCAAACATCTGAAGATTCAAGGTAGAGGATGATAATCAGGGTTTTTATTATGTTGGCTTCATCTGTATAGCAGTCTACTCCAAAACATAATGTTTTGTTTTTTTGAGATGGAGTTTCGCTCTTGTTACCCAGGCTGGAGTGCAATGGCGTGATCTCGGCTCACCACAACCTCCGCCTCCTGGGTTCAGGCAATTCTCCTGCCTCAGCCTCCTGAGTAGCTGGAATTACAGGCACATGCCACCATGCCCAGCTAATTTTTTTGTATTTTTAGTAGAGACGGGGTTTCACCATGTTGACCAGGATGGTCACAATCTCTCTACCTCGTAATCCACCTGCCTTGGCCTCCCAAAGTGCTGGGATTACAGGCTTGAGCCACTGCGCTCAGCCAACATAATGTTTTAAAGAAAAAAAAAAAACACATTTATTTGTGTCTTGATTCTATAAGTGGCACCTTTAAGTCCAGTTTAACTGGGTGGCTCTTCTGCTGGTTTTGACTAGGCTCACTCATGTGGATAGCTGCTAGGCAGCTGGGCAGTTCTGCTTCTCAGGGTTGACTAGTTGCTGGTTGGGAAGACAGGTGACTGGAGTACATGGCGTCTCATTTTCCACCAGGGTAGCCTGGCTTTGTTTTCATGTTGACTGCAATTTCCAAGGACAGCAAGAGGGCAAGCAAGCCCCAGTGTGCAGACACAGTGCATATTGGTGTCGTGTTTTCTCTTATATATCCAAGCAAATTATATATCCAAGCAAATTATATATCCAAGTTCAGAGTCAGTATGGGAGAGGCCTCCTTGAAGGCATGGATACCAGGAAGCATGATACCTTGTGGGCCATTTCTGCAGCAGTCTATGGCAGCTGGATTCCTTTCCTTCTGTACGCTTCGGCTTGGGAGTTCCCAAGGTGTAAGGTCCCCTGACTTGTATTTATTGACCTACTTGTAGTAAAGTACTTTTATAGAATTGTTTTAAAATATAATTATATTTTCCAGGAAAGATAATATATCAAGGTATTTGAAGTCCTTATAATCATTCATCCATTTTCATTACAGCCCTTCCAAATTAGTGTGAAGTAACAACCAGAATGAATGCAATATGTTTTGATGGAGTCCAGGGAGTGAAGGCTGTGAATGATCTGGTCATTGCTGAGAGAATATTTATCTAGGTAGAGGATGGAAGAGGAGCTTGAGAAAACTGGAAGGCATGGGAAGACCCTGCCTGCCACACAGGGATAAGTGTTTATGAAGGGAGGTAGAAAAGGAAGAATAAAGAGAACATGAAGCTCCAATCCCATGTGCTATTCACTGAATAAATTGTGCTGTTTAGGGTGATTTTAGTCCATCAACAAATATTTCTTGAACCCTACTATAGGCCAGGCAAACAGTAAAGAAACAGCAGGAAGCATTTTTTCCCACATGAATCTTATATTCTAGTATTTAAAACAGACACTGAACATACCATTACATGTAATTAATTAATCACAAGTGGATAAATATATACATAGAAGGGTAAGACTGTGAAAAATACCTAACATAGAAGGGTTGGAATATATTACCTACCCATTCCAGTCAAAGGGCTGAGATAAATCTTTCTCAACAAAGCAACATACAGGCTAAATCATCATCATCTTTTTTTTTTTTTTTTTTTTTTTTTTGTTTTTGTTTTAAACAGAGTCTCACTCTGTCTCCCAGGCTGGAGTGCAGTGGCATGACCTCGGCTCACTGCAACCTCCATCTCCCATGTTCAAGCAATTCTCCCACCTCAGCCTCCTGAGTAGCTGGGATTTCAGGCACACATCACCATGCTTGGCTAATTTTTGTATTTTTAGTAGAGATGGAGTTTCACCATATTTGAGATCAGGCTGGTCTCAAACTCACGACCTCAGGTTAATCATCCCCGTTGGCCTCCCAAAGTAAAACATCATCTTTTGTAACACCCACGGTAGTGTTGTAAGAATTCTCAAAATGATAACGATTGTTCTATTCACAGCTAAGTAGATGCAGAGAGGAAAAAGCAATTATCCAGAATCACAGTGAATAAGTGACCTACCTGGGATGCAAACTCAGGTTTCCTTATGTGTTTTCAACATCATAAAGCACATTTTGCCTATTTTACATATTTTCTAGAGGTATTCTGGTCACTGGCTATGTTTCATCTAGGTAAGCTATGTTGTTTCAAACAGGTAAAGTACACTGTAAAAATTGTAAATATAATGTATAGTGAAAAATGAGTCTTCCTCTCTGCCTTCTTCCCCTGGTTCCCTTCTCTGCAGGTAATGTCAGTCAAATTTCTTGTATATTTGTCCAGAGGTGTATAATTAATACTTGAAGTACTTTACTCTGTGGCAGATGTTTTTGTAAGTGCTTTGTAAATATTTACTTGTTTAATCCTTTATGTGATGAATATCATTATCAACCCATTTTTCATGTGTGCATGTATTTTATTCTACACAAATGTTTTGGATTTTAAGTACATACCAAACTTTGAGATGTCTTCCCTGGTGTCAGCATTAATAATGCTACAAAACAAACAAAGCTAAAATATCAGTGGCTTAATTACATACATTTATTTCTCATTTGTGAGTCAGCAATATCTCAGTTGGGCTTGCCTGGTCTTGACTTCAGACTGGTGGTTGGGCTTGTGTCTGCCCTCATGCATCTCTCCTTCCAAGACTTAAGCTGAGGAAGTGTCATCTACCTGAGAGAGAGATCTTTGTGGCAAGTGGCAGGAGTACAAGGAAAAAGTAGAAACATACAACGCCTCCAGAAACTTCCACCCTGAAGTTGCTAACTGTCTCTTCCATCCATAGTCTGTTGGTCAAAGCAGGTCACATGGCCAAAGCAAAGTCAACGGGGCAGGGAACTATACTCCACATGGCAAGTTTAAGGCGAGAACAACAACAACAACAAAATCGAATAAGATTATGTAATTTACACACCCTGAAAATTCAACTTTTATCTTTTGCAGCTGGGATCTGGGGGAATAACTGAAAAGATATTTACCCTGAATGAATGAACGTTTGCTTTCTTATGGTCTTTTGCTGACAAGATGTAAACGGCTGTATCTTTTCTATTTACATTTCCCAGATTTTGGCATCATGTTTGGGAAGAAAAAGAAAAAGATTGAAATATCTGGCCCATCCAACTTTGAACACAGGGTTCATACTGGGTTTGATCCACAAGAGCAGAAGTTTACCGGCCTTCCACAGCAATGGCACAGCCTGTTAGCAGATACGGCCAACAGGCCAAAGCCTATGGTGGACCCTTCATGTATTACACCCATACAGCTGGCTCCTATGAAGGTATGGCGAGCGTTCCAACTTTGGGTGGGCTTAAGAATCATGCTCTTATTTGATGCACTGCATGAGCTTCATAAGCAAGCTATAGGATGCCTAAATCATGTATTTTTTAACATTCACAGATTATTTAAAATTATTCTTTAATGATTATTATTTTCACCATTTCTTATAAATTGCAGCACATGAAAAGGAACTTTGGCTTTAGATATGATTTTTAAAAAATCAGACATGTAAAATGGACTCACAAAATAAGACATTTGTATTTTGACTTTAAATGGTGTTTTTGCTAAACTTGATACAGAAGTATATTATCCATCCGCTCTGGTTAATACTGGCAATGGCCTCCGACCAACATTAGACCACCTTTTGTTGTTTTTTATTTGCTCTCAAAATATTTAAACTTTTCTTTTATGTAAAATTTATTACTGATAGATTTTAATAATAATATTTATAAATATACATACATACATATATAGGCATATACTTATATATGTTCTATTTATAATCAAATATGTGTGTATATACATATGTACATATTTGTTTGTCTTCATAGTTTTCAAATTTGTCTTTATAGCCTAAGAGATAGCTATTTCAAATAAAAGCAAATAATTGGAGTCCTAGAATAAGATATAATTTACCTTCAATATATAGGTAGGGAATTTTTGGCAATAATGTTTGTCAGGCAATTGCCCAAAAGTTTTCTATAGGAGTTAAACATCACTGAAGCTCATCATCATGTTATCCAATGGATCGTTCCAGAGTTTCAGAATCTATACAAACATGAGGTTCAGTTTCTTTCCTTGCTCGTTATATTAGCAGACATCTGTGCTATTTGAATATGTTATTCTGTGTTAACATGACTATGGCATAAACTGTATTTAAATAATATGCAGAACAAAACAATGTATTTTTAAAGGGATGCAAAGAAAGAGCACAGCTGATACATTATGGAAAATGCTTATGAAATATCACCTGACCTGACTAAATTAGAACTGTGATTCCATTGTTCATGCATAGTGCTGGTTATTCTATTCTGGTAGTGAACACATGCGTCTGTTCTGCCCAAAGAGCAATACAGAGTCTTACAATTCTGCATTTTGTGAGTTTGATTTTCTGGTAGGATTTCAAAACCTTTCAAACCAATAAAATATTAGTTATACAAACAAATGTATATTTGAGAAGGTAAGTCTTTGGGAGGAAAAGGAGGCTGCTACTTTAAACAGGTATCAATTGATATTTATTAGAAACTGACTAATTAACCAACTCTACTAGTTTGTATTTGGCAATATCCTACTATTGAACATAATTTTCTCCCTAAGAGAATGCTAATGCTTCACTAATGATCATATAATAAGGTGGGTCATATCTTCAAAAAGTTAGAATTAGAAAAAATATGCTTGTTTAGTTTCATTATTTTTCTTATATCCCAAGATTTTAGAAAACCTAGAAAATGGAATTAGCAGTGTGCACTAAAAAGCCCCCTACTATTTATGACCGTGGTGAAGGAAAAATTCCCACATGAAGCTAAGACTTATTTTCTTACCCTGGAGTATCGTTATCGTTATCATTGGTTAAGAAACATTCTAGACAGAAGCAGAGTTTTAAAGAACATTCTAACTGAAGACCCAGGACATGTGCCATCTTGTTAGAGTGTGTGCGTTATTTGGTTAGGACAAAATATCATTTACTTCACCATGGTTTTTTAACTTGTCCAGATCCTAGCAGGTCCTGTTTGGCAACAAAGAAAGAGGCTCTTATCTTAGTGGTAATCCATCATGTTCAGTGGATGTGGGACTTAGCAGAACCTTTTACCTCATTTCTTCCATCTCCTAGGTGGGCTGGCTCGTTATCCTTTCCTCTCTGACAATCTCAGTACCACTGAGAGTTGGAGCAAGATTTCCTGATTTGTAAGCTGCTAAACCTCGTGCTTCTCTTACTTGCTGTATGGGCTTCCCAGCCCTGATGCCAAATGCATGAATATTTAGTCCATATGAAGTGAAAATATTAAAATATTAGTTATAGACTCTTAAATGCTAACTGGTTAATGACTGGAAGATACATCTCAAGTGTAGAGCAGGTCCTGGATTTCTGCAAATGAGACTTCAGGCACTATTGTGTCACTTAGGAAAAAAATAAAAACAGACAAGGAGTGACAAAAACAAGATTCAGCTAGCTTGGATCTCACCTATAAAGAGTAAAGTTAATCAAATGTCCTTACCAGGACACACCTCTCCTCTGTAGATTTATTTAAGCCAGGTTTTCTCTGACCATACAGTAGATCATAATCACCTGAAGAGTTTGATAAAACACAGAACGCTGTGCTCCATTCTCAGAGATTCTGATTCAGTAGATCTGGGATTAGGCCCAAGAATTTGCATTTCTAGTAAGTTTCCAGGTGGTACTGATGCTGCTGGTCTGAGAATCACACTTTGAGAACTTAGATTAAAGTAGTATAAAGGAATGTAGCCACATAAGGTATAATAAATGTGAGTTTACACTGGCTGGGATTTACAAACTGTCAGAAATTTAACTATAAGCCACAAGTTAGCTTGTATATGTGTCAAAAGTTTGTGTGCTCAACCCTGCAGCATGTAGGCTAGCTAAGATAACCTGAACACCCCAGGGAGAGGTTCCCTTTAAAACATTTGGCAAATATCATTGAGAAACTCCTTTTATATCTAATGTCATTTTGTCCATAAGAACATCATAAGCTGACCCAGCAATCCCATTACTAGGTATATATCCAAAGTATTATAAATCATTCTCCTATAAGGACACATGCACACGAATGTTCATTGCAGCACCGTTAACAATAGCAAAGACCTGGAACCAACCCAAATGCCCATTGATGATAGACTGGACAGGGAAAATGTGGCACATATACACCATGGAATACTATGCAGCCATAAAAAACAATAAGTTCGTGTCCTTTGTAGGGACATGGATGAACCTGGAAATCATCATTCTCAGCAAACTGACACAAGAACAGAAAATCAAACACTGCATGTTCTCAATCATAGGTGGGTATGGAACAATGAGAACACATGGAGACAGGGAAGGGAGCATCACACATTGGGGTCTGTCAGGGGGAAATAGGGGAGGGACAGCAGAAGGTGGGGAGTTGGGGAGAGATAGCATGGGGAGAAATGCCAGATATAGGTGATGGGGAGGAAGGCAGCAAATCACACTGCCATGTGTGTACCTATGCAGCAATTTTTTTTTTTTTTTTTTTTGAGACGGAGTTTTGCTCTTGTTACCCAGGCTGGAGTGCAATGGCGCGATCTCGGCTCACCGCAACCTCTGCCTCCTGGGTTCAGGCAATTCTCCTGCCTCAGCCTCCTGAGTAGCTGGGATTACAGGCATGCGCCACCATGCCCAGCTAATTTTTTGTATTTTTTTTTTTAGTAGAGACGGGTTTTCACCATGTTGACCAGGATGGTCTCGAACTCTTGACCTAGTGATCCACCCGCCTCGGCCTCCCAAAGTGCTGGGATTACAGGCTTGAGCCACTGCCCCCAGCCCCTATGCAACAATCTTGCATGTTCTTCACATGTACCCGAAAACCTAAAATGCAATAAAAAAAAGAATATCGTAAACAATATTACCAAAATTTGGTGCTGAATTAGATGCATTATATAAAGGGCAGGTTGAATGGTCATATTTGTTTGTGCTCGCCCAGTAGTTCTCAAACTTAAAGACTTTCACAAAAATTTCCTGGGGGGCTTGTTATAGCTCAGATTCCCAGGCTCCATGCTAGGGTCCCTGATTCAGTAGGTCTGGAGTGAGCCTGGTAACTCGCATTTCTCACAAGCTCTCAGATGCTGCCAATGCTGCTGATGGATAGACATACTTTAAGAACCGCTGTTCAAGGTGGATTAAAGCCAGAACATAATGATCATCCTTTCCCTTTGTTACAGCCTAGAAATCATTTGAAAACACTAAAAATAAAATAAAATAAAATACAGGGTATAATATTTAAAAGTTTTTATAGCTTCTACCTAAAATGAAAAAAAAGTATCTTAATATTTTCTTCATATTTGTTTTTAATTTTCAAGTAGAATTATGTAAGTAATATTAGTTTTATTTGGCATATCTGACTTTTATTAAATGATGTCATAATATATATAACCTCTAACTTGCTTTTTTACTTAATATTGTTTTGAGGTAAATTCACACTGATGTGAAGAAAATAACTTTATTTAAAAATTACTCGTTTTTTCCACAATTTATCCATTACTAATTTATCCAATACCAAGGGATATTGTCAAGTATTTCCTATTGCAAATATTAATATTGTCATGGATATCTGTGTTCATATCTTCTTGCGCCTAGGGTGAAAAGTTCTTAAAATGTGGTGTGAACCTATGGGGGTGCCTCAGATTCTTTTAGGGAGTCTAAAAAATTCAAGTTTGCTTTTTTCACTTTCATTGTTTCCTGTGTATACAATGGGGTTTTTCAGAAGCTACATTACATGTGATAACGTCATTGATTGATGGATGATTAATGGATCATGTGCTTTATATTCTTATGTTTTAAATTTTCTTGGCTGGACACAGTGGCTCATGCTTGTAATCCAGCACTCAGAGGCCAAAGCAGGATCGCCTGAGTTCAGGAGTTTGAAATCAACTTGGAAAACATAGAAAGACCTCATCTACACTTAAAAAAAAAAAAAAAAGTTAGCCAGACATGCTGGTATGCACCTGTTATCCCAGCTACTCTGGAGGCTAAGGTGAAAGGATCACTTGAACCTAGGAGGTCAAAGCTACAGTGGGCCATGATTGTGTTACTGCACTCCAGCCTGGGTAACAGAGCAAGACCCTACCTCAAATAAGTAAATAAATAAGTTTATCAGTTTTAATATTGAATGCAGTGACTATTAATGGATATAACATAAACTAAGGTCCCTTTTAGGTCCTCAATAATTTTAAGAGGTTCCTGAGACAAAAAGTTTGAGAACCACTGTCTTGGGACTTACATTAAATGTGATTATCTGTGGCTTCTGC